CAGCGTGCAAACATCCTGGTGGGTCATTGATATGTCAAATCGAAGTGAGCGGCCGAGCAATACTGATGTTTTCTCCGACAACTAATAATGGTGCACGTCCATGTATGCCATAAAAATGTCGCACTGGATTCGCGTGCATAGCCCACATGTCTTTCACGAGAAAAAGATGATTGGTTAGAATGGAGACTGCAAACGACGAAGATAAACATGAAGATGAAGATTAACGCGGATGAAGAGGACGGCAAAAGAAATCATTGATTAGTATATATATCCAGTATATAGTATATATAGTCTAGCTGGTTTTCTCCAAATCTCCAATTTTACTCGAAATCCTGACATGATGGTCCTACTCATCGCATATACGTACGTAAGGCCACATAAAATTATAATCTCAGAAGATGGCTGAAGTGAGGCTCCCGGAAGAAGATTCTTCAAGATCGCCGTCAGCAATATTATCAGAAATATCTCTTTTCAACGTAACTGCATGCTAGTAGATTAGCTCCCAGTAGCCGCCGTGTCATGGACGCTGTCGCCCTTGTGTTACTGATTATCGGCATTCCATAGAGCCTCCGATATCGCTCCCCCGCCGTCGCTGTATAGTTTTTCGAATAACACACGGTCCGTTCTCCCCGCTCCCTAACTTTTCACGTCGTCATTACCGTGAAGGTTTCAGTGCTCGTTCGGATGGAAAACTGCCGCTTGCTTTCAGCAGCTCCAGCGCTAGCGATGGCGTCACAGTCAACGCGCGTCTGATCTCGTGTGCATACGGTGCACTATAGATACAATAATGTAACCCAACAAGAGTGCCCTACTCTTGTTGGGTTAGATTATTGTATCTAGCGGTGCACTTGCTCTGCATTATTATAAAGAAAATTTGCGCCGCAAAAACGCTGCGTGCCATCTCTCTCTCTCTCAATCTCTCTCTCTCTCTCTCTCCTCTCTCTCTCTCTCTCTTCTCTCTCTCTCTCTCTCTCTCTCTCTCTCTCTCTCGCTCTCTCTCTCTCTGCTCTCTCTCTCTCTCTCTCTATTTATCTCTCTCGCTCTCTCTCTCTCGCTTCTCGTTTCGCCACACACACACTCCCATTTACACTATCTCTCCTACGCTGCTGTGTGACTGTCTGTCTGTCTTGCTCCTCTGTCTGTCTATCTGTGTTGTCTGTCTGTCTGGTCTCCGTCCGCCTGTCCGCGTTCGTCGTTCTCTCCGTTGTGCGACCGTCCGTCCGTGCGTGCGCGTGCGTCGTGCGTTCGTCCGTATGTCTATCTGTGTGTCTGCTGTCCGGCCAGCTTTGGCCTATCTTGCTTTCTCTCGCGCACTGGCTGGGCCGGCCCCTTGTAAAGCCTGCCTACAAAACTACATAATACACGGTGCTAATTTACACTTCATTGGTGTAAGAGGCACCCTTTTGCTCCCGAAACAACCAGTACGCATGTACAGGGTAACGCGCGCGCACGCACAGCATTACGCGCGCACTTGCACAAACAAAGCACGTACATATACGCACGCACAAACAGCATGCACACATGCGCAAAGGCTCTCGCATGAATGCGCTCGCGAGCGACTCCCCTGATCAGTAAAGGATTGTATATACACGCTGATTAATCCCTGCCGTCTGCACTGTTTTTAATACTATTAACCTCGAATAATTTGTAGTTTTATCAAATATGATTAGTTGCGCTTATTGCGTCGATTAAGCACATTGCGCGGCCGCCGCCTCCCTAGCCGAGTAACGACAACACTAACCGCAATTCGTCTTTCGAAAGTCTACTTCGCGGCTGTCTTCATCTTCATATCGGCGCGGCCTGTTGATTTCTACTCGATCTTGCGAACAGCGGGCCGCTTGTATTACACAGACCGATTTCCTTTTTTGGAATGACCTTCGTGTCATAGATGTGTGCGATACTAGTTCAAGCTCGCGGCAGCCGACAGCTGCACTCTTGCAGTTAGCTGATGATCAATGCTCGGGCACGATGACACTTCATCTTGCCAGCACGAGGGCAGATTCCTTTTTTGTCATCAATACTAGACTTAAAGACTGTAATATATATATATATATATATACCGCACAGGACGCGGGCACGCACGTACGCACGCACCCGGTAGTGATCCTGAATTCAATCGCATTTCTTGTAGAAACTCGGATGAATTTGTCGAGTAGCAAAGCACATTAATCCATAAAGACGATGCGAAAAGAAGATGCATGGCTTCATTGATTGCTGTCTAGAGTCACAGGTCTACGGCGAAAATTTATCGAGGATGCCACCTAAAATTTAGTCTCGCTCTCCTATGCATCGCTGGTAAACGATATACATATCATGTGGCGGTAAATGACAACATCTCACATATGTGGCCCGACAAGTGAGTGTGTGTATGTGGTGTGCTGTGTGGTTGTGTGTGTGTGTGTGTTGTGTGTTGTGTGTGTGTGTCAGGGTTGTGTGTGTGTATGTGTGTGTGTGTGTGTGTTGTGTGCGTGTGTGTGCTGCTGTGTTGTGTGTGTGTGTGTGTGTGTGTGTGTGTGTGTGTGTGTGTGAGGGTGTGTGTGTGCGCGTGTGTGTCTGTCTGTGTGCGTTGTGAGTGCGTGCGTGCGTGCGTGTGCTTGCCTATGTGCATGTGCGTGCGTGCGCGTGTGCCCGTGCCCGTGCCCGTGCGCGTGCGTACATATGAGTGTGTGTTTGTCTCTCTTTTCTTCTCTCTCTCTCTCTCGTGTGTGTGTATGTGTGTGTGCGTGCGCGCGCGCGTGTGTGTGTAATAACGACATTGTAAATAACGAACTCCGTGTTTTTGCTGCACCTAATGGCGGCGACACCGTCATAGCAGAGCTCGCTAGCCTGCAGCAAGAGGTGGATAAATATTTATTGTGAGGTGTCTGAGGGTTAGACTTAAATGAGGATAAAATGAGTTATAGAAGATTTCGTCGTTTATAAAATTTCTATTGTTACTATATACAGTATTTGTTATATCAAAAGCACAAAAACTAATTTGTTTATGAAACTGTTTGCGTGCTCATCGTTATAACCAAGCAGTTCGTGTGTCACATATTCTGTAGCATACGGAAGATTTGCAGTGCATGGTGTTTTTTTGCCAGGGTGGCACACATTGAGAGAATAAGAGGATAATGTGTAAAGCGCCGCGGTCATTGTTATTCAGTAACGCGCCATTCATGACAGCGCTGTCCATTATGTGTTTAATCTTTTAGCGCTACTCACGAAGCGGGTGAAAAGGGCGAGCCGAAATCGTTGCGAGAAACTGTTACGGATTGAAAGGTTGAAATGATTAACAATCATTGATGCTTCAGCGCTCCAGTGTGCATTAACGAAATTAAACCGCATCGACGTCAAACATTGTTAAATCGCCAATCACGGACAATAATGGCTGTTATTAATCAGCCGTCTACTTCATATGGTGGCCGAGATGGCTACGGATATTTTTATTCCAAATTCATTTTTATTTCAAATTCATTTTCATTTCAAATTCATTTTCATTTTCATTTTCATTTAAAATTCATTTTCATTTCAAATTAATTTTCATTTTCATTTAAAATTCATTTTCATTTC